TGTAAAACAGCCGTTTCAGTTGTCGTTAACGGGGGCGATAACTTAAGAAAATGCATTAAAGAACACCTTTGGGTAACATTACTGCTAATTATTTAATTGCAAGAATCCCTATGGGGAAATTATGCTAATTATAAAGTAATAAAACCACTTGTTCTAAAGCACTTAATTCAGCAAAATTTCGTCTTTTCACCAGAACGTTTCTTACGTTACTTGATGAAAGAAACGAGTAGCTGCGTGCTCATCCCGCCTGCGCTCAGAGCCCGTGGGAGTTGTCGCTGGCACTGTGTGTGTGCTGGCAGGTTGCATGTGGGGCTCTCGCCCTCCTCACCGATGTGATGAGCACAGCGGCCACCGAAACCGGGGCAGAGTTCACTGCGCAAAAGCACTTTTAAAACAGGCATAACACAGCCCAATGCAAACATGGTGTTTGCCAGTCTTTAACGTGAAAGCGAATCTGTTACCTGTCAGGTACGTTGTAGCTGAGCCCAGCTATGAGAGATGGCCTTTTGCAACCCAGCTCTCTTTCCACTTACAGCACTCTGCGCTATGGAGATGTTTCTGTAGCACACTTTGTTCTATACATGCCCAAGAGCCACCCAGACGACCCTTTTAATTGCCCTTACAACCTGGGACATTAAGTGGTGTTCCCATTAACAAATACAAGTTCTACCTTGCTCCCCAGCTCTTCAGGAGGTCACAGACTCTGGCTCTTTGTGTTCTGAGCACTGCCACCATTCACCCTGTCAGTCCGTCACTGAGTAACTGGACTCGCCGTGTCAAAGCTGCGGAAACCTCTTTCTGTGATTTGTAAATATTGGCATAAACCTTCTGTTAACAGGTTCTTGAACTCGGCTTGGTGGAGGGCAGCTTTGGGGAAGGAGTGTGCAATTTGCCATTCTTTTCATCGCAGGGAAACAGCTTCAACAGCCAGATTTCCATTCTGCTCATACACCGCGTCTCAGAGAAGTGTAACTGAGTGGTCACTGCAGATTTTTCTCTTTCCTTTATCTAAATCTGTGTCATCTCTCTCCCCACATATGAGCGTATCATCCCACCCTCACGGCATACACTGCCTTCACCCAGTCGTCCTAGCGAGGACTGTGTGACTATAAACACGAGCAAAATTGGAAAACGCTCTCTCTTGATTCACAAACTTTTGTTCTTGAAAGAGAGGAGTGTGAGGCTTAACTGTAAACACTTCTGCGAGCAGTTCCTCTTGAAGTGAGGCAGGAGTTCAAATGCAGCCTACAATGTGGTTTTTGATGCTTTAAAAATCAACATCATTTGGTTTAGCTCTGATACTGCTTTGCTCGGGAGGTAATTGCAAGGAGTGGAAGTAACAGTATGTGCTTCCCACCAATGCAAATGCAGCTGCCGATAACTGTGAATGAAATAATAGGTTAATTGAGATAAGTGTTGAAGTATAATTTCTGGAAAGGAAGAATAATGTTCTAAAAGGGGTAAGACTAAAGCAGCTTCAAAAACATGTAGCAGAAATGTGGCTGAGAAGAAAGTGTCTTTATATTTTAGAATACAGGGGGATTTTTGGCTGTTGCTTTTTTGTACTGAGAAAATGAAAATTCTTCAAGTCCATGCATGAATAAACAAGTACAGCTGGGCAGCCTAATACATAATTTATACTGATCAGTCACTGCAGATTTAACTGAATAAAGCCAAAATGAACACTAATTGTTTTGACAAACTAAAATAGTGTATATGATGGTTTATTGTGAAGCTTGCTGGTTACTGTCCTTATCTCAGTGGCTATTGTCAAGACTGATTTCTCCATGAGAGGCAGAAAAAGACGAAACAAATTAGGACAATATTAAGATTAATATCTTGTTGAAGATAAAGCATTTTAATTGCTTAACATAGAAGCAGAAAATAGAAGGAACTGTCTTCAGGACAGAGGGGAGAATTGGCACAGTGAAGCGTGGGACATACCCTGATTTAGGGGGTAAGGTATAATTGCTGAGATAACATGCGGTACCTTGTCAGCTGAAGGCTAAACCTGAAAGTAGATTTTTTTTTTAGATCACTTTTGTAATACGTCAGGAATAACTTTGATTGCCTTTGGACACTTGTCTTCTGAAAGGGAACATCCAAAAAGATGTCACTGGATTTCTGGAGAGTTATGTACATAGGCTAGTTAATCCAAGAAGCTGCACAATTTCTCTCTGGTTTTGGTATGTACAAAGTGAAAGAAATACATGGATGGGCCTTTACTTTGCTTCTCCAGACCCCCTCATTTAGATGGATGGCTAAATGAGAGCCATTTAAAATTTCATCTGGAAATTAAGTAAGAGACAGACGAGGGTGATAATAATATTCACGTTAAGTAAGAGACAGACGAGGGTGATAATATTCACAGGGATCCCTAAGCACCACTTCTGCATGGACTCCTTCGCGTGACAATGAGCTGCTTCTTCCTAACAGTCCTCTGCGGTGGCCTAACCCTGCCACCTCGCCCTCCTGCCTCTTCTCTGAGGACCGGCAGCTCCACTTGGCTCCCATCATCACTTTTATTGTCACTCCCATCATCACCGTGTTTGCTGTGATTAAGTTTTAGGATATGGCTGGAAAATCAACAGTTGGGCTTGAGTGTTCCTGGAGTTGGAGGGAGGATGGTTGGACCTGGGACTTTGGACCATTCTGTGCCAGGAGGCGGCAAAGCGGGTGGAAGCTGGATGTGGATCTTCCCCATGGTCCTGGGTGGGATTTTCCCTTGGATCTGGGGCCATCACTAAACCCGGCTTCTGA